ATATCCTTCTTTTTAAAGATTTGTCATATACTGTACGTGTGCTTCATAGTCTCTAATGTTGCTTCTTCAATTGCTCCTCTTTATGATGACCATGACCCCCATTTGATGAGACTAACATACAGTTCTTGTTTTCAATAGCTTTTTACGTGAATAGTTGGTGGGGAACAACTGCTACAACAAGTATTTTCATTGCTGCAGCAATTACAGATTGGCTTGATGGGTACATCGCTCGGAAGGTATGCATGGCCTTTGCCTGTCAAACTCTAAGAATAATATGGCAGGACCTTTTATGTTTCTATTACTAGCTTAATAGTTGTACATGCTTTGATGTGTTTCAGATGAGGTTAGGAAGTGCATTTGGTGCATTTTTAGATCCAGTGGCTGATAAGGTACATACTCTATTTTTCGAAATAATTTGTGTTGTAGCCTGTTGGTTTGCCAGGCTGAGTTTATGAAGGTGTTCTGGACTTACAAGATAAAACAAAGATTGTACACCCTTTAGTTTAGGAATCATGTAAGAGCACTTTGTTTGATTATCATGCTTACTGAATGCAGCTTATGGTTGCTGCCACCTTGGTCTTATTGTGTACCAGACCCTTTGAAGTTCCCATGTTTGGACAAGTGCCATGGCTACTGACTGTACCTGCAATTGCAATAATTGGTAGAGAGGTGAGTACCTATCCTCTACTTGTTTGTTATGGATCTAGAGTAATCATTGCATGTTAAGTTCGGAAGAGGGGACATCTTCATATTCTCTTCTATGATTAGCTCCCTTTCACTTGTTTCTTCTCTTGCTAGCCATTCTGTTATTGTAAATCTCTCTCTCTCTCTCTCTCTCTCTCTCTCTCTCTCGAGAGAGATATATCGTCAATGTGTAGGCGCCCGGCCCATGTCGACCTCGTGGGTGCCCGGAACAGTTCGAGTCGGGCCGGGCGGCCCGGCCCGTTGACAATGTGAATATTCACATTGGACCTGTTAATATTCACATTAATAGAAGTATAAAATTGGCTCCGCGTCCCGTGGCAGCGCGAAACTCGCCAACGGCCCATGGGGCGCCCGGGGACAGCCTGTTGACATGTGAATATTCAATGCCATGTGAATTCACATTGTTAAGAGTATAAAATTGGCCCCGCGGCCCATGGGGTAGCAAAAGCCGCAGCCGCGGCCCTCCCGGGGCGGGCCGCGGCCCGTGGACAATGTGAATATTCACATTGAGCATGTTATACATTCACAGCTAAGGAGTTTACAATTAGTCCCGCGCTCGTGGGCTTGCCGAAACCGCCCACAGGCCCGTGGGCGGCCCGGCGAGCCCGGCCGGCCTGTTGACAATGTGAATATTCACATTGACATGTTAAACATTCACTTGAAAGAATATAAAATTGGGCACGGCCCATTGGAACAATGTGATATCACATTGACATTTAACATTCACATTAATAGGAGTGTAAAAATTGGCCTGCGTCCCGTGGCGGCGCGAAACCCGCCCACTGGTCCAATGGATCGTCTCAGGGCGGGCCCGTGGCGGCCCCGTTGACAATTGTGAATATTCACATTGACATTGACATGTTAACATTTCACATTGATAAGAGCATAAAAATTGGCCTGCGGCCTGGGTAGCCAAGCCCGCGCGTCGCCCGGCGGCCGGCCCGGCCCGTTGACATGTGAATATTCACATTGAACGTGTTAACAATTCACATTGGATAGGAGTTTAAAATTAGCCGCACGCATCGTGGCTGCCCGAACCCGCCCACGGGCTCGTGGCGCGGCCGGGGCGGACCCTGGTCCGGCCTGTGCAATGTGAAATATTCACATTGACATGTTAACAATTCACATTGGAATAAAGAATGTAAAATTAGCACGCGCACCCCGTGGGCGGCCCGAGCCGAGCCAGCCCGGGCGGGCTTGGACCGATCCCGGGACAATATGAATATTCACATTGACATGTTAACATTAACTTGATAGGATGTAAATTTGCACCGTTGCCCGAAGCTTTGCTCGTGGCCGGGTAGGCCCGGTCCGGCCCGTTGACAATGTGAAATTATTCAACATTGACATGTTAAACATGTACATTGATAGGAATATAGAATTAGCTCGCGGCTCGTGGGCTGGCCCAGATACCCGCCCAAGGCCGGGGCAGGCTCGTTTGGCGTCCCGAGCCCGAGCATGTCCGAGACCCTAAGCTAGGGCTAAGGCCATCACTTGAAGCGCCGCCCAATCAGCCCGTTAAGGCCCATTCAGGCTCGGTCAGAGGCCTAGCGCCGCCCGAGGCGCAATGTCTTTTTTTGTGGAAAATATAAAATTTTGATAGGAAAATTAAAAACAGAATTTAAAAAAAATGGCTAGGCCCGCCGCAGGCCCGACCGCAAGCCTGAGGCTAGCCCAGACCCATCGGCCCGACCCGAGGCTTGACCCATCGACTCGGGCCCTGACCAAATGAGCCTACAAGCCAGCCCGTGGGCAGGCTTCGGGCCAGCCCCCGGGCCGGCCAAATCTAACATTCCCTATCAGTGGCATGTTAACGATGTCAATGGTAAAATATTCATATTCTCAACGGGAGGTCGGGCCTGCCTGGGCCGCAGCCAAGTCTTTCCGGGCAGCGGGCCAATATTGTTACAGACCCTATCAATGTAATGTTACAGTCCAATGTAAAATATTCACCAATGTCACGGTCGAGCCAAGCCCGACTCGGGCTACGGTCGGGTTTCGGGCCGCCCACTGGTTATGGGCCAATTTTTACAAACCTCTTTATCAAATGTGAAATGTTAACATGTCAATAGTGAATATTCACATGTCAACGGGCCGGGCCGGTCCTGCCCATGGGCCGCAGGCGGTTTTTCGCGCGCGCCACGGGACGCTAGGCTAATTTTTACAACTCCTTTAATGTGAATGTTAACATGTCAAGTGAATATTCACATTAGTCAACCGGTCGGTGACCGCCCCGGCTTCGCGGGCGGGTTTTCGGGCGCCACGGCCAATTTTCATTCCTACCAATGTGAATTTTAAAATATGAATATTCCGCATCAATACAAAGTTGGCTAACCGTTCAAAAAATATTTATAAGGGTA